TTGCTTTTTTAAAAATTGTTTTTTAACTCATCAAGACAATTAATTGGGTGATTTGCGTGAAGTAAATTACAAAAAAAATAATAAAAATTGGGATAAGTCAGCTCAGACTCTCTATGGGAGTGTGTCATTCTGGTTTAGTAAAAAAAATGATTTATAATTTCTTTTATCAGTACTTTAGGGGAAAAAGCAGTTTACTTTAATGTGCATCACTTTTGAAGGGACTGTGAGCATCCTCCTCCTCCTCCTCCTCCTCCTTGCCTCCTCCAACTCTGACGTGACGATAATAATAGGTTATCCGAGTAGTTTGGTTATTCCAGCTTCATTCAGCATGCATAAAGATGGTTCATTTAGGAGGGGATTAAATGCTTTTTTGTTCAATTTAATGGTAGAATAAGGTGGACGTACAGTGTTCCAATGACCTTGACATGAGGGTTTGACCAATAGGAAGACGAGCGGTAGCCACCGAGGGGAATGTTGCCATAGGTGTGTGAAAGGTAGTGATGGAGATGTTACATCTTCAGTCTCTCTCCCTCCCTCCATATCGAAGGGCTTCCAGGAGCAAAGAGAAGTTTGTAGCGACTCCAGTGAAAGTGGAAGTTTTAGTTGCACGAAGAGCTCCAACTAACTGAGCCACATGTTTACAGCAATTATGTGATAACAGAGAGGAGAAGGAAGAGCAGTGAGGAACAATTAAATCATTTTTCTTGCTCAAGTAACATAAGAATTTGAAAACCACTTTGCATTGAACAGTTGAAAAGTGCTTGATACAGACACTCTCACCTCTATTCGACCTCCTCTTTCGTCCTCCTTCACCAACTTTCAAAGGACGTCTCCACATCTTCGTCTCATAAGCAGGACCACCTTCTCAAAACAATGACGTGGAGGCGAGGGCGGAGCTAGAGAAAACAAAAAAAAGCTCCACAAAGTAAACCTCACTAGTAAAAAAAAACGTTCCCTCGAGGGTTATAAACAATCGCCTATACTTCACAAGTAGCCATTGCAACGACTTAAATCATAAAAAAAATTTTCACACCTTTATTAGTCTTGTTTTTGTCTCTCTCCTCTTATTTTACATCAATTTGACTGCACGAAGGGTTTGTAGGTGTTGGACAGGCTTTTTTTGATGCTGATGGGCTAAGCCTTTCGTTCTCTTAACGTGTGTTTGCGTGTGTGTCGTTAGCCGCAGGGCGATTAGCCCACACCTCAGGTGAAAGCACACAATTTGACATTTCCAAATGTTCAAGGCGCCTTGTAAAAGTGCAAACTACATCTCCCCATACTTTGTTTTCCCCTTTTCAATCTCACCTCAAATTACTTTGTGTACTATCACATGCGAAGGACACCTTAAAATGGGTGTCATTTGTTGAGTGTTTCATCTTTTTCTTTTTTTCTTTCTTTTTAGGTACTTCTGTGACATTTGTTTGGATCGAAAACTCTATGCTCGAACAACGAGTAAACTTTCCAAAGAGACGGTGTTTTGGGGTGAATGTTTTGACTTAAAGTGAGTGTAAAGACTTCTAATGAGTGCATACTTGGCTCCTTGTTTAATATCCCACTGCTGTGCAAAAGTCTGTCTGGCAGACAGAGCGAGGCAGTGTGGCATAAATAAACCGCCGTCTCGATGTCTAGACTAGTGACGAAGGCAGCCATCGTTGTTACGATGGTTGTCGCCATGCAACCCTCAACAAGAGGCAAGTCACACGGATGCTGTACACCACCCACTGTTAGTCCAGTGGGATGAATTGTAAACTGTGCAACCTTGTGTTGACTAAAAGTTTAAAATTTCTGCCTTCCTTAGCGGTAGGTGACACTTTGGTGCCACTGTCTGTGGTTGTCCGATCTAGTCATTGACCAGTGAAGTGTGTTGCAGGGACGAGATTAAGAAGAGGGATTTCCTTTGTGCTTGCGTGACCAATAGGATTGCAGTGCACGCCTCGCGATACCTGCGTCATTTCACATTTTTACACCTTCAGCAACCTCACAGAACTGAACTTTATCACGATAAATCTCTATCGTGAAGCCGAAGCAGCAAAGGATACGTCTAAGCGTCGCAAATCCAGCAAATCCCAAAATCAACTCATTGGTAAGTGGTGTCTCGCCTTTTCGAAAGTGCCTCCCAATGACTTCCTGGGGAGGTGTTGATAGGTGGATGGAGAGGGGAGTCCCATGAGATGTCTAAAGCGGTCCGACAGGGT